TTGTGCATTTCATTGCCTCTATTTTGTTTTTGTTTTTACATGCACACCTCTGCACCCGATGTGCACTACTGCTCTAGTACATAGGTGAATGTAATTGAATTAATGCACTATACAGTGTGTGCACTACTTTGAATGACCACCATACTTGGCAGTGGTAGTGATGCCGATCAAATGTGCCGATAGCCTAGGGTTTGCGGTGGCTGCAGCTGTATCAGCAGCAGCTTCCCCCACACTTTCACTTGGCCTTAGTTGGACACTGGCTAGCAGATTCTCTCTCTCCCTTTTCATACATCGTTCACCGGCTTCATTCATATTCACACCATTCATCATGTGGCGCTTGTCTGACGCGATCTCCGTTAATGAGAAACAGTCGCATCTTGGCTATTTTCAATGAGAGCGAGAACGCCTTTTTAAATTTTTGCCCTTTTGTCGCCATGTTATTTTTTGTCAGTTCCCAGAAAAAGATGCACGCTTCCATCACACAGCTGTCGTTCACGGCCGCTCTGCTAAATTACAGAAAGCACACATTTTGTGACATTTTATTCGCTCAGTGGGTCGCCGTTGAATCCTCACACACGCTGTGTGCAGCAGCTGCATCACATGTTGCTCACTTTACCAGTGCGGAGATGGCCCATTTTATTTGTTATTTGTCGACCACCATTTGTCAGCCAGACGACTAGAGAACACTCACAGCCCAGTTTACACCCTCGCTGGCTTGCTGCACCCCTGCACACACAGCAGCACCTAAACGCATCACATGCTGGGAGGCAGCATTTTTGATTTGAGAAGCGAAGCCAATATATGCCTTTATGTGAATGCTACTGCCGCAGTAAATGTCAAGTGCAAAGTGCACTGCTGTGCCGCTAGCGAGACATGTTCGACATGGAACATGATTTGTACATGTTTGATTTACCACCACCAGCACCACCACAGCCACCGCCACCAATCCAGTCCACAGATGATTAGCGTTGAGCTGTTGTTTATACTAATGTCAAGTGCGGTGTCTGCATTGTCTGCTCTACTTCACTCGGCACTGGCCTATGTCTGCAGTTGCTGTCGCCGCCGCCGACTTATCACCATTTCCGGTATCGATTTCAATTTCCTCTGGCCCCCTGATTGTTCGAAATCATTAGAAGGGGCACTGCATTTTTATTGTGGTGCGAAATGAAGTTGAAATGAGCACTTGTAAAAGTGAACAAACTACAGAGAAAGGAGAAAAAGAGAGGCCAATTTGCAGCAATCAACAGCAGCAGCAGCAGCAGTTGTCGTCGATTGTCATTCCTCTTCTTCTCTTCATGTTCACTGCTTCATTCAGCGTAATATTTCCGTCATTAGGCTAATGTAGCGGATGTGTGTACTGCAGCGACAAGGGGCCACCATTGTCGGCTGTGTGTTTGCCTAATGACACTGTCTGTCCCTCGTCTCATCGAGGAAGTGACTGTGGCGGTGGTGGCGATTTCGATTTCGATTTCAATTTCAATTTCATCACAGCTCATGTCTCCCTTCCTTCCTCCCTCCCAAACGCTGATGACCCCGCTGCCTTGCTTTATCAAACTGATGAACTGACCAATGACTCTGNCTGCCTAATGACACTGTCTGTCCCTCGTCTCATCGAGGAAGTGGCTGTGGCGGTGGCGATTTCGATTTCGATTTCAATTTCAATTTCATCAAAGCTCATGTCTCCCTTCCTTCCTCCCTCCCAAACGCTGATGACCCCGCTGCCTTGCTTTATCAAACTGATGAACTGACCAATGACTCTGTTTTTCCTGTGCAGGAGAAGACCAGTGCGACTGGATCGCCGTGCACGTGGTGGACTTCTTCAACCGCATCAACCTGATCTACGGCATCGTCACCGACTACTGCACCGATGAGACCTGTCCGAAGATGTCCGGCGGGCAGAAGTACGAGTACCTGTGGGCGGACGGCGTCACCTACAAGAAGCCAGTGCCCCTGCCCGCCAACAAGTACATCAGCCTGCTGATGGACTGGATCGAGTCGCAGATCAACAATGAGACGCTCTTTCCCACCAAGAGCGACGTGCCCTTTCCCAAGACCTTTGTGCCCACCTGCAAGAAGATCCTCACGCGCCTCTTTCGCGTCTTTGTCCACGTCTACATTCACCACTTTGACCGCCTGCTGGCGATTGGCGCCGAGGCGCACTGCAACACCTGCTACAAGCACTTCTACTTCTTCATCAAGGAGTTTGATCTGGTCAGCGCCAAGGAGTTTGATCCACTGGTTTGTAGACTGGTTTGCAGAGGTTTGGCTGTTTGATTAACTCATTTTTTATTTTTTCAGTCTGAACTGACGAGAAGGCTCTGTGATGGCAATTACCGACAATCAACCACTGGCGTTGAGATGAGGAACGGCAAATAAGGCAAACTTCTCAGATGACCCATTTTGTATAATAGCGGACATGCCCTTCTGTACAGACCCCTCCCCCTTTCACAACCCTTTCACATACCAATGAATGACCGAGTCAACACATTCTCTGCATACTAGCACATACAGCAGTGTACACATACGCACATCAGACACATCAGCTGCAGATTAAATATTGAGTATTAACGCCAGGGGATTGAGGCAGTTCAGCTCGAATTGCAGCAGGAAGCTCTTTTTATTAGCGGGCAAAGCTGGGTGTTCAGGATTGCTGCTGCTGTTGAGTGCTGCCTGTGGAAGCTTAGCCCTGCTGTTGGTTGCCGCTAGAAATTCCCGGCAAATTACCGGGCACATTGGGCACAAATCTCTGTTCAGCCGCAGCAATGGCTGCCTCATTCTGCCGCTGCAAAGCTTCTCGACGACGCCGCCGCAGCCAGTCTGCAGCCCGAACACCAATCTCCATCGTTGCCAGCATGACGATGATGCCCAAGAGTAGAATCAGGGCAAAGCGGTCCATTCGGAGGGCCTGTGGGCTCAAAAAGATATAGACATTTGTAGTCAGATGTAGGCAAATAAAAATCGTTCACTCACCTTCATCATTCGGTTCTGCAGGTGGCGAAAGACGGCGGTCTTTCCGCTGTGGCACAGCAAAAACTGGTAGATGTCAATCTCCACCAGTTCCAGGACGTCATTCGCCACGTGAACGGCCCCCTTCAGCGGATACAGTGGGTCGTAGGAGGCGGCCACCGTCATGGCTGGTGGTTATCCTTTTATTTAAATTCAAATATTCTCAAACTTTTCCTCAATGTTCTCAAAACATTAGCAGAAAGGGTAAACAAGTAGAATAGGTTTTGCATTGTTGTTGTAGAATCCACCAGTTCGAATTTGGAATTTGCCTTAAAATCTTATTTATTAAGCGCGAACAGTTTGCGTTGTTTCAAAAGAGTCAAAGGATGTAAACATTTGGTGCTTCCCAAGAGCATTAATTGCAGCCGCCTTTTGGTATAATAGTGCGTAACAGAGGGTTACATTAGCTTGAAAGAAAAAGTAGGTAGGAGGTAGATTCGATGACTGACTAATCCATAATGGCACGATTGAAGAATATCACACGTAGTGGAATTAGAGGTAGAGAAATGAAATAGAAAAAAAAGTTTTCAGCTCCATTAGCTTATTGCTTATTTCCCAGCTTGACGGCGTCGGCAAAGTTTTTCGGGGGAAAACTCTCCTCCTGTTGCATGTTGCAGAGCTGCTGCATTAGCATCTTGTACTGGTACTTGAATTGATTGATTTCATCTTGATCCGCCTTTTGAAATTCAAAGATTACCTGGAAGTTTTCCAGAGTGATGGGCTTTCCGACAATGAAAATGTGTATTTCATTGTCATCGTTTCGAGGGTCAAACAGTTCGACTCTGACGACGCCACTGACATTCACCATTTCATCGATTATCTTCGAGTCGTAGAACAGCTGAAGGTAATCTATTGGATAGGAAATGACTCGCTCCACATAGTTGAGCATCTCAGCTGCGGCGTTGACAGCTTCCTGCGAAACACCTATTTGGTACAGAAAAATCTGTTTGAAAAGGGANTGAGTCGTAGAACAGCTGAAGGTAATCTATTGGATAGGAAATGACTCGCTCCACATAGTTGAGCATCTCAGCTGCGGCGTTGACTGCTTCCTGCGAAACACCTATTTGGTACAGAAAAATCTGTTTGAAAAGGGAAGCAAACAAACTGGCAGTGCATTACCTCGAATGTAGAACACAGAGGTAGCGTCATCCAACTCCAGCGAGGTAATGCCTTCCAGTCTGCGCGCCGCTTGAATGTTTGCGCCTTTTTTCCCGATCGACAAGGCGACGTACTTCTTGTCAACATGCAAGCGGATGCGAAAATCTTTGGGCTTTTCAGAAACGATGGGCTCACTTGGGGTGATTGTACCCATCTGACAGGCGAATGCAAAACTATCCCTCAAGCGGTTAAAGTGCATAGAAGAGAGCATGTTTGCGCGTTTCACTACTTGCTCCTTGAAGATCAGATTTTCGTTGGAGAAAAAAGCAATGCAAGTAAGAGATTTCTTTTCGGGATCAGGAAACACACTGATCAGCTGCGGAATGTACTTCTTGAAGTCCTTGTGCAATTCATAATTTGCCAGCCACTTGAAGTTGTTTCGAATAAAGTGCAGAAAATCCTTTGACAGTAGCAGATCGAATCGGTAGAAGGGATTGTTGGCTTCAGAAAGCTGATAGTACGAGTTTTGAGGACGCAGGCAGTCTTTGGAAACAAAGTCCAACTTGCTGAGATCATGAGCTTCAGTCGCGTCCAGTGAGCTGTCGGGTTTACCAGCAACATTGACAACGTTAACAACGAAAAAGTCACCTAAAAAATACAAGCAAAATTACGAAATGAACAATCCAAAAACTGCTGAAAAACCTTTAGCAACTTTGATAATCTTTCCAGGAAGCCACTTGACGAAAGGCTTTGACTCCTCCATGAAGATTTGAACCATTTCATTGTCTGTAAATTAGATACAAACACTTAAGTTCATTAAATTCTTGTTGATGTTGGTACGTACCAGAAAAGGCCGTTTGATCATCAAACTTGAGCTTCAGTCGAACTTGCTCCAGAAAGACCACTTGAATGTTCTTCGCTTCCGTCAGAGTTTGGCCGGGCTCTTCGCCCTGAATGGCGAGCACGACGGTGCAAGTGTGCTTGCACGGAGCTTCAGTCTTGCCGGCTTCATTCTGAGGGGCCAAAGTACCTTCCGGGCCACTTTCAGCCACTGCGGTCTTGGCGACGTTAATGATGTAAGCATCGTGCCAGACGAGCGAACCGTCCTGCTCGAGTAGAACTTCGACTAGGCCAAATTCGAAAAAGGCCCCCAGAACGCAGTCTTCCAGGCGCTCGCTCGGCAGCTGCTGTATCATCATCTGAAGCTGCATCATCAGAGATGGCTCCTGCTGGAGCTCTGCAGCTCTCGCCTGGGCAGCGGCCGCCGCCGGACAGTCGTTGACATTGCCGTTGATATCGACCAGGGAGGCGAACATTTCGGCGATGGCAGTCGATGCAGTCGGCGGTGGAGTTGGCAGATGAGCCGCCTGAGGGTGAGGATTCGAGGACTCGTTAGGCAAGGTCATGGTGGTTCTAGGTAGCGAAGAACAGAGGGAGGGAGAGAGGCAAAGGAGAAGGACAAAGGACAAAGACAGAGAGAGGGAGAGAGGGAAAATAGAGCGAGAAGAATTTGCTCGCGACGTGAACGCTCGCGACCGTTGACATCAACTGGTGTGCTCGGCTTCGGGGAGCCTGCGCCGGCGTGTTCGGTATGCGCCGGATCGCAGCGCCCCCTCTCCAGAATGACTCATTTCAACTTGAGCAGCCATCATTGGCGTTCTTTGTCGGTGACTCGCTTATCACCGGGAAGAGCGTGTCTTCGTACATGATCAACTCGTGCATCACCACCAGCGCCCAAGATTCCTATCGCATTGCTGGCATTATTCGCCGGGTTGTTTGTTCTGCTGCTGTTGCTCAAGTAGCCTCTTTCATCTCATCTCTCATCTCATCTTTTGCCCTGACTCTTCAGCCTCCTGCTCTTGACTGCACCCTGCAACTGTGTCAACATGTGTTTGGGAGAATGATGATGGCGGCGGTGGCCGTGGTGGTGGTGATCAACAAAGATGCTTTCAATCAATGGTGGCTAGAAGGAAAGGAGAGAGGAGAGTTTGCCGACACACGCAAGTCGCCGGCCGGCTTCTAATTGACCGAATTTATCAAGTCAGAAGAACTTGACTAGCAGGATTGCTCCATTTGTCTATTTGCATTGCCATTTATTTACCGATCGGTGATCGCACGTCCAATCTATCATTAGAAGGAAGGAGTACCAGTACCGTTGGACCGAAACTGTCTCCTCTTTCTCTCTTCCTGACGAGACAGAAAGTATTGATGTTATTGATTGACCGACTGCCACTGTGTCTGCGTTGCATTCGCCTTCGCAACACTTGTCTTGTTGTTTTGGCCTTGTCAACTTTTTACTCTTTATTGCGTCACTTTTACACACACTACCGGACATGAAGTGTGTAGTCATTGCCTTTATCTTCCACTGTCGTTGCTCGCCAAACAATCCCTGTTGTCTCTGTTTACTCGGTCCTGTCCTGCAATCTATTGTCAATCCATCACCGCTCATCAATCTCCTGCTAATAATATTAATCTCGTCTTACCTGTTGATTGCCGTTTTGTCGCCTAATTGATCTAGTGCGTGTCTGCGCTGATGAGCGAGCGCCCCAGAAGAAGCAGCCCAGCAAAGAGGTAACCGTATTCACATGCATAATGTTTGTGTAGTTCTAGATTTGCCTCTTTTATTATCTGCAAAAAGTGCCATCACCATTGCCANTATCTAGTGCGTGTTTGCGCTGATGAGCGAGCGCCCCAGAAGAAGCAGCCCAGCAAAGAGGTAACCGTATTCACATGCATAATGTTTGTGTAGCTCTAGATTTGCCTCTTTTATTATCTGCAAAAAATGCCATTGCCATTGCCATTGTGCTGCTGCTGTTACTGTTTGCTCAGCTCAGTAGGCACTGAACTGCTTTCAAATTATACACAGCCGATAATCAGCAGAAGGAGGAGGAGGAGAGGATATATTCGACACTAATGCTGTGAACTTTTCTTCTGGCTCTGCTCACAATTAAACGATCTAATGGATATATAGTTACCCGGTGGGCTTTACTCTCTAGCTACCTGGCTACTACCTTTTCTGCCTACGCAACAGCAGCAACCTCACTTTTTCACAGGTCGAATCATCATTTGAATTTGACAAGTCAAGTCAGAATTTTCTCAACGCTGACACTAATACGGCTGCAGTCATCAAATTCTCGACATCTCTGCCCCTTTTCTTGCCTTGCCTTCCCTGCCCGTCTCTCTGTCTGTCAACTGGCCACATTAGGACGACCCAACGCCTCATTGTCCACCACCACCACAGTCGCCGTTTGACGCGACACCATTCACTTGGC